AAGTGAATATGCAAATTATATTAAAAAAAAGTGAATATGCAAATTATATATTTTTTTAAAGTGAATATGCAAATTATATTTAAAAAAAAAGTGAATATGCAAATTATATTTTTTAAAAAGTGAATATGTAAATTATATATTTTTTAAAAAGTAAATATGCAAATTATATTTTTAAAAAAGTGAATATGCAAATTATATCTTAATAAAAATGAATATGCAAATTATATAATTTTATCATAATATTCGTGAATAATTATGCATTATTTGAGATCAGAAAGTATTTTCTTGGTATTTGATTTAGAACGATTAAGAAACAAAGAAAAAAATCATCAATAATAATAATAATAATAATAAAACATATAATTAATATAGAATAGAAAGAGAGAGAGAGAGAGAGAGAAGAGAAGAGAGAAAGAGAGAGTGGGAGATAAAGAAAGAGAGAGAGAGAGTAGAGAGAAAAAGAGAGAGAGAGAGAGTGAGAGATAAAGAAAGGGAGAGACAGTAGAGAGAAAGAGACGGAGGGAGAGAGGAAGAGAGAGCGAAAGAGAGAGAGAGAAGGATAGAGAGTGAGAGATAAAGAGAGAGAGAGAGAGAGAAAGAAAGAGAAGAGAGAAGAGAGAGAAAGACAGAGATAGATAGATAGAGAGAGAGAGAGAGAAGAGAAGAGAAAAGAGAGAGAAAACAAAAACAAAGAAAAGATATTTTAAAATATACAAAAAAAAAACACAAAAAAGCAAACAAACACAAAACAAAACAAAACAAACCAAGACACAAAACACACACCCAAACAAACACACACCCAAACACACACCCAAACAAACAAACAAAAACAAACACACACAAAACAAACCCCCAAACAAACACACACAAAACCCCAAACCCAAACCTCCTCCTCACCTTAGGTCCGGTCTCTCCCCTAAAACCATCCACGCCCCTTGGTCCAGGAGGTCCAATAGGTCCCTGAAGTCCCTGACGCCCATCACGCCCTGGTTCTCCCTTCTCGCCCTTAATCTGACCTGGAGGAACAGCTGCCGGTTCGCCTTTTTGTCCCTTAATCCCTTCAGGGCCTCTAAAGCCACGGGGTCCTGGACTTCCCGAGGGACCTGGCAGGCCGGGGACGCCCTGTGGGGGGGGGGGGGTATTATTATTGTTGTTGTTGTTGTTGTTTTTGTTTTTGTTGTTGTTGTTGTTGTTATTATTGTTGTTATTATTATTATTATTATTATTATTATTATTACTATGATTATTATTATCATTATCATTATTATTATTAATTTTACTATCATTATCATTATTATTATTATCATTACTACTACTGTTATTGTTATTATTATTATTATTATCCTTATTACTATTATTATTATTATTATTATTATTATTATATTATTATTATTATCCTTATTATCGTTATTACTACTACTGTTATTATTATTATTATTATTATTATTATTATTATTATCATAGATATTTCTATTATTATTATTATTATTATTATTATTATCATTATTATTATTATTATTATTATTATCATCATTATTATTATTGATATCATAATTATTACTATCATTATCATTATCATTATTATCGTTATTATTAGTATAGTTATTATTATTATTACTTTAACTATTGTTATCATCATTATAATCATTATAAATTATTATTATTGATAACCATTATTGTTATTATTATCATTATCACTATTATCATTATTATCATTATTATTACTATCATCATTATCACTATCATCATTATTATCCTTATTACTACTATCATTATTAGTATTATTATCATTATCATCTATTTTTATTATTATCATTATTAGTATCATTATCATTATCACCTATTATCACCTATTATCATTATTATTACTATCATTATTAGTATTATTATCATTATCACTATCATCATTATTATCATTATTAGTATTATTAGCATTATCACCTATTTTTATTATCTTTATTATTATTACTATTATTATTGTTATTATTATTACTATCATTATCACTATTATCATTATTATCATTATTATTACTATCATTATTATCATTATCACCTATTATCACTTATTATCATTATTATTACTATCATTATTAGCATCATTATCATTATCACTATTATCATTATTTTCATTATTATTACTATCATTATTAGTATTATCACCTATTATCGTTACTACTACTATCATTATTAGTATTATAATCACTATCACCTATTTTTATTCTTCTTATTCTTATTATTAGTATTATTAGCATTATCACTATTATCATTATTATTACTATCATTATTAGTATTATTATCATTATCACTATCATCATTATCATCATTATTACTATTATTATTGTTATTATTATCATTATCACTATCATCATTATTATCATTATTATTACTATCATTATTAGTATTATTATCATTATCACTATCATCATTATTATCCTTCTTACTACTATCATTATTAGTATCATTATCCCTATCACCTATTTTTATTATTATTATTATTATT